TTATCAAAAATTTTAAATTTTGACAAGATCAAGTGTTAGCAAGAATACAGAATAGCTAGAATCGTCCATATCACTGGTGTAAGAAAAAAATTAGTTCAACACATTTGAAAAAGTTAACACTATGTAATAAAATTGAAAACACCTATATGCTTTTTCTGAGCAGTTCCATGCCTAAGTGTATATCCTAGAGGAAGTCTTATACATGTGCTCCTAGAAACTTAAACAAGAATGATCAATAGCAACAATGTTTATAAGAGCAAAAATCTAGAAACAAATTACATTAATAGAAGAATGGATAAATTGTAATATAGTCATATTGTGAGGTATTAAACTGCAATAAAAATGTATGAATTATAATGACATTATTCAACATGGTTGAACTTTATGAATATAATTTTAACTAAAGGAAGTTTCAGAAAAATTCCTATAGGATGGTTCCATTTATATAATACAGAAACCAGCAAAACTGAATAATAAATTATTTAGGAGTATAAATACATGGTAAACAGGAAAAACATGAGAATGGTAGTAAACACAGTAAGATATAGTATCATAGTTTTCTATGGTGGGCGCAGTAGGGACAGTGGATTAGGCAGAGTGATGAGATAGGGAAGAGGACATAGGGAAATCAATGTATTGGTAATAATGTATTTCTCATGTTTAGTGTTAGGTACAAGGGTTTGTTTTATTGACATTCTTTATAGCTTACACATATTTTATAAATGCTTGTTTGTGTTCAGTATCAATAAAATTTTAATCTTTTTTCAGGGTATAACCCAGGGTCAGTTGAGCCACATACCATATTCCTAGTATCTAGTTCAGTCGCCTCATTATAGTGGTAAGACAAATTAAGATCACAGTGGTTAAAAGCTTGTCTAAAGTCACACAGCCTGAAAGAACCAGACTAGGACTAAATCCATAGTCTGGAATTGTTTTTACTATCTCATGCTTATTTTTATTGGCAAATTTTCGTTGGGATGTATTTAATATGAGTTGAATTGCATGGCTCTTTGTATTGGCATTGTAAATCAAGGTTAACTTGATTGGAATCACCAGCCAGCAAGGGCACTAAAGACAAAAAATAAGATCACTTAGTTCTTTTCTATTTTGTTTAGTTTATTTTTCCTGTTATCCAAAATAAATTGTCTTTAAATGACATACTGCTTTAGAATACCTGAAAGTTTCTTTGTTTATATAGCCTAATATTAGAAGTAAGCCTTTTTCATGGACTTAAACATAACATTTTTACTTTATTAATTACAATTGTATAACATAAATTGCCCATTTATGCTAAAATTTTAAAAAATATATTTTATTATTAGTCCTTGTCTGGAAATTTTCTAAGAGAATAAAATGCCAAAGAAGGAATTTTATGGGGTAAAAATCTCTTTTAAAACTACTTAGAGAGCAGGGAAAATACTGTATACTTTATTCACTTTATTATTCTCTTTCATAATGAGAATTTTATATACAGCTACACAGAAATATGTAATATTTTGCTATCCATAATTATGAGTTACCTAGTTACCTTTAATTTTTAATTTTGATTTTGTTGTAGTCAAATAGGAAAGTGAAGACCTAGATCTTAAAAACTGTCTCACATAATTAAAGCTAATCATTCAGTCCATGATGGTGGTCAAATGACAATTAGAAAATCTGGATCATTTAAATTGAAAAGTAATTTGAAGTTTTTTTGGTTCTCCCTTAAGTGATCATCATTTTCAGCAAAATTTTGTGGTGCTAATCTTTCAAATTTTTTGGTATGTATTAACATATAAAAGTCACAAAATAATTAATTTCATATATATTTTGTGATGATGGAAAAATTGAATTTTGGTGCATTCTGTCCTGCACATGCTTGTTTTCATTTATTTAGTATACGTGTATTTCACCTTTTTCTCAAATCTACTACAAAAATCTTTGGAAAGCGCTACGAGTAAACTGTGCTCTTACAATTGTATTTTTGAAAAAGCATATGGGTGATGTTGGAGTCACTTGAGTAGAATTTTAATTAGATCTGGTGCATTCACTTTTATTAAAAGAAAGAATACTAATTCCTTTTTAGCATGCTGACCATGCTTTATTCTGACAGAGGGGCCCCTTTTAATCTGTTCTTAACTTCCCATCGTTTATCTTTCAGAAACAGTCATGTCACTTTTCTAACTTTCAAATGCTTACTAATTCTTCTTCTTTATACACCAAAACTGAAATATTGCTATTATGGCATTCAAGGCCATTTTAAATCTGTCATTAATATCTATTCCAGCTTAATCCATCACCCCATTCTTCCTCCTCTGCATACTGAGCAGCTGTCCATGCACACTGTTCTGGCATATCAGGTTATTCATCATTTTCCATGCAACTATTTTTGTGCCTTGTATGCTCCCTTCGAGCTGTTCTATCTACTTGGAATATTTTTCCCCTCGACCCACACATTTGTGCCATCCTTTCTTCTTAGGACTTCTGCCAGGTGAAATCCTGGGTATTCTTTAAAATCCAGATTAGAATACATCTCTGTGGTAGCTGTCGTTTTTCCTTTTTGCCTTCTTCTCTCCTCCAATAGTACTTAAGCTGTGTTTCACTGCTATTATTGAACCTAATACTACAGTTAATTGTGTTTCTATTTCTCTACCACTTTGTGAGCTCCTTGATGGCCAGTTTTCAGTTTTATTAAATGAAATAATGTATCATAGTGGTTAAGAGTGCAAAATCTTAAAATATCCAATCCTAATTTTACTTTGCCTGCCATCAGTAGTGCACCCAATTTACTACTCTTTATTGAAACACTTTTTTCCCTGATATTCTAGGGAAATATCCTCACAAGACACTTTTTTTTCTGTTCTTTTTTTAGTTTATTTTGCTGATTTCTCTTCCTCTTTCAAACCTCTAATTGTTGAAGTGCTTTTTTCTGTCTATACCTACTTGCTAGGTGATTTCATCCCATGTTATGGCTTTAAATACTGCCTTTATGCTGTTGAGCCCCAAATCTATAGTCTGGTTAATGACAACCTTCCATTTGCTCAGGCCAGAAATCCTGAAGGCATTCCTGAATCTTCTCTTTCTCTCACTGCCTAAATCCAGTCCTTCAGCAATTATAATCTCTCCCCTCAGAATATATCTAAATTTTTAGTACTTTTCACCGTATTGAGGGCCAACATCCTGATCCAAGCCACTACCGTCTTTTACCTACGTTATAGGTGAAATTATAATAGTTTCCTAATTGGTCTCCCTGCTTCTGCTTTTGCCCTTATAGTCTATTCTCTACACAATAGCCAGAGTGATCCTATTAATATTTTTAAGTGAGCTCATGCTCACAATCTTCTAGTGACTTCTTTTCACCTCAGAAGTAAAGCTAATATTTTTACTATGACCTGTAAAGCCTTATGTGATCTGGGTCCTCATTTCCTCCCTGACCTCATTTCTATTAATATCTTCTTCCTGTTGTTTATGTATGCTCCTTGATGTTCTTTGAAAATGCCAGAAACACGTTTTCTACTCAGGGCCTTTGCACATGCTCTATTCTCTTCCTGGAATGCTCCTCCTGAGGTATCCTCCTGGCTACCTCACTCTCTCCAGTTCTTTATTGAAAATTATCATTTTTTGATTCATCCACCATGCACCATCACTGCCCTCTAACGTATCATATCTGCTTTCTATACTATATCACTAGCTTCTCTTCAGGTCTTTTTACTATCTATTATACTACATGTTTTAATTATTTGTGTTTTTATTCATCCCCCAATTCACATGATTTTTTTGTTTGGTTTGTTTTGTTCACAACTAGTGGTGAACCAAATAACCTGACTCCAGAGTGTTTTAGAAAAACGTTTGAAAGAGGAGAAATTAGACCTTGATTATTCTATAATGATGTTCTCCAGATTGTTGTCCTGAAGAGCTTTGATTCTATAAAAATACTTTGGGAGAAAAGAATTTCTTAATAAAGTGAATGCTTCATGTAATATCCTCCTCCTTAAGATTCCCACAGCACATTCATATTTTAAAGATTCCCAGTAGTTTGGTGAAAGACAACAGAGTGTCACCATAAAGAGGATAAGCACAGGCGTTGTGTGGCCTGGTTGCCTGGTTTCTACTCCCAGTTTTTCCACTGTGTAATAGCAGTATGGTCTTGAGCACATCACTTAACATCTTTATGCTTCAGTTTTCTCAGCTGTAAACTGAGGTTAATAACAGTACCTACCTCAAAGGGGTATTTTGAAAACTACTTTATTGTCTATAAAGTACTTAAAACAATTCTGGGAACATAGTAAGTGATTGTTATTATTGAAAGAAATCTATTAATATTTAACCTATTGAAACAATACTTATTTGTTCACAAAACCTTTCTTCACCCAAACTATACATTCACAATTAATTAATACTCTGTACCACTAAGTATTTTATACTACTTTAACCCCATCTGAAAAACACACACAAAAAAAAATCATGAAAAGAATTATTCTAACTCCTCCTAGGATCTCATTTGGAATATAAGTGATTATTTGCCTATCAACTCCAAAGGAGATGACAATAATAAAATAAAGTTCTTTATATGGTTTCTTTAATATCACAAAATTGTTGACAGTTAACTATAAAATACTATGGAGGATTCTTCTGAAATATTATTACTTTTTAAAATGTTAATATTTTACATCAGCTGTTATAAGCCCAGACATGCATTAAATCCCAGGAACATAGTTCAATATCTTTTTGCTTTTGGCAAATGGTCTTTGCTCACCTTTTACTCTTTTTGTCATGTGCCTTTAATGACAGAATATTCTGTGCCCATATGGCTTTAAGTGTTAAAAAATATTTTTCTTCTGTACTGAGCTATTGCTACTTGTATATTGAGACAACATACATAAATTATTATAAATTTTTATTTTAAATTATTAAATATGAAGGGCAAAACTTTATTGGAATGTATCTCCTGTTGAGATGGTTGGAAGTGACCTTTATAATGCCTTTAGTAAAAGAATTATTTTTTCTTTTTGATGTTTCAGAGGATTTTATACCTCATAACAATGCAGCATAGAAGTATGAGTGACAAGTATGCCTTACCTCTGTCAAGCTAAAGCAGAAGAGCTGTTTGTGAACGGAGATGAGGAAAACAAAATCTAGAACACAGGCATATTCTCAGACTGATGAGTTTTAGGAAAGTGGATATAAGGAAGTAGATGATCTATAAATTGATTTCTTTAAAACCATAGCCAACTGTATACCCTTTTGAAAGTCTTTGTAGGCCTCTAATATATACCTGTATGAAGACCACTGTTTTAAATCACTGCAGTTAACCTATTACATTCCTTGATTAAGTGGCCACTACATATTTGTACTAACAGTAAGTAGAACCTATTGTACAAGTAATAGGTAAAACCAAACTTTTAACAACTCAAGGTACTTATTCAAAAATACCAACACACTGATATTCCCAAAATAAATAGACCTAACCTAACATTTCTGTAGGAGTTAACAGTTTACCAATATTCTCCACATACATTATCTTCTTTATATCTTTACATTACCTTGTGAAATAGATGCTACCTCTGTTTCACCTCACTGTTCTCAATGAAGAAATTGGAGCTCCAGAGATAATTTGTTTACAGAGGCTGAAATTTAGATCTTCTGACTCCTAGTCCAAGTGTTTCTTTCCAGTATAACACTATTTCAAAGAGAGTGTACTTGATAAAATTAGAGCATTCCTGGAGCCTGTCTAGAGAAAGAGTTCTTAGTGCCAAAGAGAACAAACTTTGGATTGTGGTCTGATTCTTTCTCTTACCCTGCTGTCATTGTCATGCTTATTGGACGATCTATTTTGTGTCAAGCATTGCCCTCTGTGCTCTTAGGCACTGTCTGAGGCCTTACAGATAATTTGTCAAATAATTTATGGACTCTGCAATCAAAGAGCTCACTCATAATAGAGTGACAAAGAGATACCTATTAAGAAGAAAACTCTTACACATTACTGGAGACGTTACTAGAGAATCAAAAGAATAATACCATTATCTTTGCAGATAATTTGTCAAATAATTTATGGACTCTGCAATCAAAGAGCTCACTCATAATAGAGTGACAAAGACATACCTATTAAAAAGAAAACTATTACACATTACTGGAGACATTACTAGAGAATCAAAAGAATAATACCATTATCTTTCTCAGTAGAGTAGTAAGCAATTTTGGGAACTACTAGTCCAGTGGTCTTATTCTAGCAACAGTACCCATTGTTTAGGATGGTGCCCATGCTTTCTGAGCCCAATAACCAAAGGACTCATAGTCTAATGAATAAGAGAATTTATATAGAAAAATCCATACTAGACAGTGGCAACATAGAGTGGGAGTTGTGTATTACAAAATTTACCCTTTAAAAATCTGTACATTTCCTGCATAGCACAGTATATATGCATTTATATATAGCTCAAGTAGAAATATAAATGTGTAAAATGTTTAAGTGCATATTGTTTGCCTGTGTATAGTATAAAACACATAAGTAAAATACTTTATAATACTTTTAACAGCATATCAAGTCAATATATTGAATTCACATAAATTATTATAAGATTCAGTTCTTCTCTATCCTTTGGTCATGTGACATCCACCATAAAGTAAATGGTTTTAAGATATGGGATCATAGGAAGGTTTTGTTTGGGAGTTTTTTATTTGATTATGTTTTCAGAGAGAGAAACTTGAGCATTTTCATATGATGAGAATAAAGACCTGGTGAGTAAAGAGAATTAATTTGAAGATATGGAAGAGGAGACAGGAGGAGGTGGCATACATATTCCTGATCTAATGCATTTTCTGACAGAAAACATTAACATTCATACATTGCTTAATGATGATATTACATTCTGAGAAATGTGTGGTTAGGCAATTTAACCATTGTGCTACCATCATAGAGTGTATTTACAAAAACTTCGATGGTATAGCCTACTACACATGTAGGCTATAAGGTATAGCCTATTGATCTTCGGCTATAGAACTGTAGAGCATGTATTTTACTGAATACTGTAAGAATTAAAACATAGTGATATGTATTTTTATATTTAAACATATGCAACCATAAGAAATATACAATGAAAATATAGTATAATCTTATGGGACCACCATGATATATGTGGTCTGTTGTTGACAGAGACATCTTTATGTGGCACATGACTGTATATTAACTACATAAATTATATTAGCTAATGAACAGAAGGATTTTTATTTTTCTTCATGCACTTCAACAAAAATTAAGACAACAGTGAATCTGTGATGTCATAAAATTCAGACTGTCAATCTTTAATGTTACATAATGAAAAGTGGAATTGGCACTTAATATTTAAAAGACTGTTATCTTAATCAGGCACCTGAGAAGACCATAATGCCATAGAAATGATACTCTCATAAAATTCTAAAGCATATCAGTTTTTTTTCATAGCAAGCTCTCTCACAAAAAAGAGTGACATTATTGAAAAATATGCCCCACATTCCATTTGTGAATAATCTTATGCTGCCCCTTTACTTTCCATGTAGAAAAAAGTTTAAAGATTCTTTGGCCTGCCTCTTTTTCTCCAGTTTCTTAATTAGTAAAATTGCAGTAATTATTTATAAAACTGTAGACCCTTCTAAAGGCTGATGAATGAAATATTCTCCTTTTCTTGCAACTAAAGAAAGAGCAGATTACATTCTGTGTCATAAACTCACTTCACAGATGTTATTTTTAGGAAGGTTACTTTGTAAAACACCCAGACTTTAGGGATTGATCTCATGTCCTACAAAAGTAACTTTTAACTTCTGAAAGTTCTAAATGTCTGATTCGTTATATTTAATAATGTGATGCTTTGGTAATAATATTAAAACTGGCATTTCTGTTTTCTGAACCTTATCTTTTTTCATAAACCCAAATGAAATCATTGGTACTTTTCACTTATCCCAATACTATGAAAGTAACAAGACTAATTTTTTCAAACTTCTTTAGCAATGGCACTCTATTTTCAAATACAGTCTTATATATATTCAAATAAATTCTGTAGATTTTAGAAAAGGACTTATTTCTTACACAGTTATTCTTTCATGTTTTATGGAAAATTATAAGCCCTTAAAATACCTCCTTGGAGTTGTTAAGAAACACAATTTAGAGATAAATTGTTATAACCTATTTTTAAATTTTATGTGTTAGCCTAATTTTAGTACATTAACTTTATTCACTTATTTTCTCCATATTGCTATTCATAGTACTATTGGAAAATGAGACTTTTGAAACTTAATCCCTCCTCAAAAAAGGCTTCCTTAGTCAATTCCAGGTAGTTAAAGCACTCCCTACTTTGTGTTTTCCTCTGCAATGTTTAAATTGCTCCACCATCACGTATTTATCATATTGTATTATACATTTCTTTACCTCTTTTTTTATGAATTGTGAAAGATCTTCATTTATAAATTGTGGGTGATTCTACCCCTAGAAACTCAGCACAATAACAGGAAAATAGCCAGCATTTATTGAATGTTCGCCAGACATTGAGCCAAGCACTGTGTATAGAAGATTTTGTTATCTTCAGCCTCATGAAATACATTTAACAACACCATTCTACTGATGATCACAGAGAGGCAAAGAGGTTACATCTTTAAATAGTGGTAGATTGAGGATTCAGGCCATTTCAGTCCTGAGCTCAAAACCCGTGCCAATCACTACACTATTGTACATATGCAATAAATGTTTTTAAAATGAATGTATAAATGACATAATTAACATGAGTACCATTTGGACAGAAACCACATACTTCTGACTGGTCCTAACTGTTGGTAAATTTGGGCAGTAGGTCTAGCAATAAGTGACTTGGAAAGAACAAATCTCCTCCTACAACATGTCCATCCCCTTATATAATATTTTTAATTATTAGAATTTTTAGCATCCCTTTAATATATGTACTAAAGCAATAAAACTCCTCTTCCTTGAGTATAGCAGAAGGGTCTATACATAGCTTTTCTATAAGAGTAAATACTCACACTCTGGTAGAGTGTCATGAAATCTGTCTGCCTCCTTCTGTTTACCTGTAACACAGAGGTGGCTGTTTTTCATCTGCAGTTTAACAATATTGAGTATGAATCCTATTCAAGTACAATGCTCGAGGTAATATTGACTGGTTAATATCCTAGATTCGGAAGTCAGATGTGGGGCAGCTTACTTAACCTCTCCTTTACTTTAAAATCTTTAAAGTGGAGATAATGGGATCTACCATGTGGGATTGTTAGGAGGATTGAATGAGTAAATACAGCAAAGGACTTACAAATCACTAGCACATGGTAAACATCAAATAAATATTAGCTGTTATTATTTGTATTGTTTACTTTGCACTTTTTCTTATATATTTGTTCAGTAGTTCTTTATATATTTTAATATACTTATTTGCCTAATTAAGCCTGCCTATACTCTTGTCTACTTGATTATAATAAATACACCTATTTACTATATAAATACATTTCCTCTCATAGTGTAACTAGATGTGTTTCCTTCTTCAAGCTGAGAGATGATTTATTTAATTATTTAATTCATTTATTGAGATCCTGCTGTGTAAGGTACTGTGCTAGGTTCTGAGGATATAGTCATGAGCAAAAGAGGTAGAAACTCTGTTCTCCAGCTACTTAGAGTAGTGGTGTCAGACATATTGATACATTTCACACCTCTGTTGATAAACATTTTTGAGCATTCATACAAAAATGAATAATTATTTATAAGTAATCTACATGTCTCTCTGCTAGTGTATTGTATAGATTTTACAGTGAACTCTAAATTAAAAAGATAAAATAGAAGTAAAAATTCTAGTATTCTTTTTCCCTTTGAGTGTGTTCACTCCCTTTGAAGAGTTCACTGGCTTAAATTATCAAGGGAGAGACAATCAGAGAAACAAACAAGAAGGTGTATATGAAGGAAAGAGTCTCTGTGTCAGGAGCCCAGCTTCATCTGGAGGGCCAGAGAAGACTTCTCTAAGAATAACATTTGAGATGGACTCTGAAAGGACGATTTGGGGCTTCTGAAAGCAAAAGGACCGAGAGCAGAGTGTTCCAAGAATAGTGTTTGTAGCTAAAAGCATGATGTGTTCAAGAAACTGAAAGAATGCCAGTATTGCTGAGGAAGCAGTGTCATAAAACAAAATCTAAAGAGAACCAGATCATACAAGGATTATATACTATGTTAAGGATTTATATCTTACTCCTAAAATTCATGGGAAACTCTTCAAGAATTTAAAGAGGAGAAGTAACACGATCAAATTATCACCTTTCTAGTTCTTGGTGATATTTTTCTTCCTAATGGTTATTGCTAAAAACAGGTTTGAAATAGTACTTATTAACAAAGGATTTAAAGAAAAAGTCTTATGTAGCAAATTACTGTTTAACCCACTAAAAGGAATTTTATTATAATCATGCTGTGAGCCTATGCAACAGTAAAAAAATAGTGTATTCTGAAAAGGAAAAGTAAGACAAGGGCAAATTAAAGTTGAAAATGTTTCTCTTATTTTCAAGCAGCCTGAAATACAAAATCCAGGAAACAAGTTAATACCGCCTACACTTACACTATATTCTCTCTTATGCTTACAGTGGTTAGTACTTACTTTGGTTCTTTTAACTCTGTAGTCAAAGAAAAATTTAGATTATAATTCCAGTAATGATAAAAACAGCAATAATGATAGTAACAACAACAGTTCACATCATGACGTAGTTATGAGCACCTTTTATGTGTTATCTAATTTAATCCCCATAGTGATTCTACTAAGTAAATACTATTGATATCCCATTTTTATAAACAAAGAGCCCATAGATGATAGAGCTAATCCGACTGGAAGCCACACTCTGACCTACTATTCTATTCTTTCTCTCAGGAGCTTACTCCATAAGGCAGCGATAAATAGTATAGAATGAAAATCAGAATCACCAGATCATGGAAAAGACTTAAGTGTTTGTTTTAAAAACCTTTTTAAGGTGAGGAACAATAAGTTAATATAAAATGTCATCTTTTTCTGGCTACAGAGTTAACTCAGTATTCTGTGATATATAAGATGTACATATCTATTGTATGATATTTGTCATACATAAGAAATATAAGTATGTGTAGGATCTGAGAATGAAACAGAAACCCATAATAATATAGTTTCTGCCTCTTGGAACCTGTACCCATTCAAGTGACTATTAATTCAAGGCAATGATAAAATAACAAATGATAGAAAAAGGATAATGGCTTTGTAAATTCAAAATTAGAGAATATTATTGTTACTCATGTTACCAAAAAGAACATGTAAATTTGCACTTTGTCATAGGATGACTCCAGTTCAGCTAAGTTGGAGAAAAGGAAAGAGTGGAGAACCTTGTAATTCATTAAAAGGTGACTGTGTGGGCAAATTCCCTAAGGCAGAAATGTAGAGGACAGTCTGAAACAATCAGTGTCCTCATCTAAGGAAAAACTGTAAATTCTGGAATGTAATGGGAGATGAGGTTGGGAAAATGTGGTTACAGTGGGCCCTGATTGCTTACGGAGTTTTAAGTTCATCCCAACCCAAGAAATGGGATAGGTATTGGAAGCTTTTCAAGCAGAAAGTAACAAAATAAAAAATATTCTTTTCAGAATATAACATGTAGGTAGAAATGAAGGAGAGAGACTTCAGTTAAAGGTTTTAATTAGGAAATAGTTGCAATAATCAGGACATGAAATAATGAAAAGTGGAATTGAGGTGGCCAACTTGAGATGTAGAAGTATTGAAGAAATACTTTTGGGATATATTTTAGAGGAAGAAATGATAGCATATCATACTAATTGTTCAGAGGGGTTAATATTTATACTGCCAAGAGTAAATGAGGCTTTCTTTTGTTATTGATAACTTATAGGTGGTAATTTTCTTATCCCTTTGATTTTTACATTATGCCTAAATTGCAACCCAAATTGTGAGATATGATTGTCTATCACTATATTGTTTAAACTCAAAACCATCTTATGATACTTTGTTCAAACTGTATTAAAAATCTGTAGGGCATGAATGAGATCTAGTCAGACCCAACTCAGCATATCAATCTTGGTCAATGCCTGGCATTGAAGTTCTCTTTGCATAGGTGTTGAATTATTGCCGCTAGT